GGCATAGTGCAAGTGGGTGCTGGGGCAGGGTGCAGCCATTGGGAGGCATGTCCCTGCAACACAAGCTCCTCTCCCTGCCCCAGCCCAGGACACTGATGAACAGCCTCTGTGGAGTTAAGGCTTGCCACTCTGGTACCTTCAGGTTCCATATGGAGATGAAACTTTTACAGGAGTATAGCCCTCTGCCCTTAAAGAGCAGCCACCTGCAATCTAGAGAGAAGAAGGCACTGACTCAGGGTCCCTGGCAGGGAGAAGACAGACCTGGGTCTCCTGTCAGCCACTTGGGTTCCCTTGAGCTGTCTGTCTCTGTCTGGTGGCTCAGTGCAAGCACAGCCTGGGTTCTCTGCAGCCAGCCACATTCGTGGGAAACCTGGTCCTGCCATATTCTCAGGAACCCCGGTTTCCTTTTGGCTTTCTTTTGGTTTCTCTGCATGGAAAAACCTCTAGTAGCCTATTTCCCATGAGCAGGTGCTACCTGCCCTATGCAGACAGGAGACCTGCTGTGGAAGGGGTTGATTTCCCTCTAAAAACCATGGCTGGCTTCCAGAGGAACAAGAGTCACCAGGAGAGTTTCCTGTGACAGAGAATGTTCCAGCCTGGGCCATGTTCTCAGAAGAATTAGGGGAGCTCTCTGATCATCTCTTCATCAGAGCCCCCACAAAGAAAAAGACATCTTTCACTTGCCTTACTTCCCAGCTTGCACCACTCTCCTGTGTGCTTGTCAGTGTATATTCACCTGTGTTTCTGTGTGTGTGTGTGTGTGTGTGTGTCCATCCGCCCGTCCGTCCGTCTGTCTGTCTAGGCTAATGGACCACTGTAGGACCCTATGACTTTCTCTTTCCAAGACCAGGCCCTGAGGCGTCCCTGGGTTCTGGCTCGTGTCCTTTGACAATGACAGAGTCTGTTTTTCCACTGTAGAGGATCTCACCATGGAAGCATTGCCATTTGTCAGCTCTCCCCATACTTAAACTTGCTCTTCTTTGCTCAGGGGGTATACTTTGGGATAGCCTTCCTGCATTTAAGGGGAAGAGTCTTGCTCTGGGGCCCTTTGGGTGGGAATTGGGAATTAGTGCAGTGCAGGTCTCTGTCGGGGTTACATTTGGCTGCAAATAATAGCAAGCCTGCCTCACAGCAGTTGAAATCCATCAGCGCTATTTCCCCTGAAAGAAGCAGAAGTACAGAGGGCATCCAGAGAGGGCAAGGGCTCTGGGTGGTCTCCTTGGGGCTCCAGGCCCTTTCTGCAGTCTTCTGTTGTGACTTCTTACCAACCTGTCACCTTGTCCTGTGTACGATCACACTGGTTTCACAGAGGTGTTGTATTGACTGAGGAGATGACATGTAAAAGAACATAGGTGTGCTGCAGGGATCTTGATGGGCATACCTCTGCTGGGGGATGCTCAGTGGGTGGGATGATGACCTTGAGGTAACCCAAGTGGTCTTTAGAAACCTATGACTCATGTCTGTAGCTAATGACTTTCTACTATGGAAGCATACAGCATACCACTGCCTCAATGAGACCAGATGCACGGGTTCAGTTCCTGTAGAATTTTGGAAGAAACTTTTGGAAATCTAACAGCAAGTGTTAGCTCACATCTGGTCTCAGAATGAACCCTTAGGATGAGCTGGCCATACACAGCATATGCTAAGGATGGTCCTTGACTGCAGAGGCCTCAGCTGGTGCCTGGACCTTCCCAGCAGCTGACCATGACCAGCAAGGCAGCTGAGGCCACCAGCTTTGCAGGGTTCAAATGAGAACAACACATAGTCTTCACTCTCCTCCATCCAGGGCTTGTGCTGGGCCAGCTCCTGCCAAGATAAAGACAATCTGGGTTGATGGTGGTGCCTGGGCATGACTTGGCTTAGAATCTTCAGTGACCAAGTAACCTTTTGTGACCTTCCAAGGGTTCAGAAATTACTGGCACACAGTTGTATTCCATCAGCAACCAAGAAAGCTGGTCTTGATATTAATTTTAAGATTGCCAGTAGACTTGGGAAGCAGGCTGAGGGAGATTAGCTGGCACAAGAACCTGGAGTCCCCTCTGCCTAGTGCCCAAGCCCACATCAGTAGTTTAGACCTGTAAGGTCCTGTGCTGTGGCCCTCTACTTTTTTTTTTTTTTTAATCATTATTTTTTTATTTTTTTTTTCATACAGAAGAATTCATTCCAAAGCAATTGACATTGAGACGTTTTCACATGCATTTCTAATCTCTATATACATGACTATCACTGGTCACAGTCGCCCACCTTCTGAGCTCCTCGGCATCTGAGCATGAATACAAACTCGTCAGATAGACAGCCTTCCTCTCCCACTAGAGGCTCCATACTCTGCCATCCCTGTCACTGTCCACTGTGTTGTCAGCACCCTCATCCATTCCCCCTGTCTGCCCTTCTGGTAAATCTAGTCAGCCAGAGGTCCCTGTTCCAGGAGGGTCAGCTGTTCCTCATCTACGGCAATCCATTGTCAGTATTCCTTTGGATAGAATTGGGGTCTGCTGTTCATTTTTCCAGTAGTATGTTGGGTTACTGTCTGGGAGAGCCTTTATCTATCCTAGCCAACAACTCGACTGAAGGTATCGCCTGTCTGGCTTTGTTGTTTGTCGAGTAACTTTTAGTTATGTATATGTATGCTCTTATGATATTATGTTGGTGGCCCTCTACTTTTACATGGCCTATTAGAGATGTGCTTATTCTTCCCACCACAGGGAAAGGTCAAAGGGCCTTTCTAGCCATTCTTTCTCTTCCATCATCATCCTCCTTGAACCTCCATAGGCCATCAAAGCTGGATCTTTGCTTATTACCAATTAAAAAACTAACCATAGGGTAGAAGTTTAATTTTAGGGTACATTAAAGACAACAACATCCTGACAGAGGCATTTGCCCATCTACAATAGTTACTTTTCTCATCATGACAAAAGCAACTTAAGGGAAGAAAGATTAACTTGACTTATTTTTTCAGAGGGTTGCAGTTCATAAGGCAAAACAGAATGGCTCTGTCCGTGATGATGTGAGCTTGAGGCAGCTTGTTTACATGGACTGAGTCAGGAAGCAGAGGAAACTGGCTGGAACCAGGGGTGGATATAGTCATCAAAGGCCCACCTCTAGTGACCTACTTCTACCTGGAGGCCCCATTGCTGAGTACTTCACAGCCTTCAGAATTTTACCACAAGCTGTGGAAAAGATGCTCAAGACATGAGCCTAGGGAGGATATTTCAGATTCGAACCTTGAGAGAGGGGCAAAGTGGGAACAATCCTGGCCCCTCCCAGGGATGCTGCATCATGAGGAACCAGCGAGCAGCTGGCTCTCCAGGCCCCTTCCATCCTTCAAGCTGACAGGCCTAGGCCCTCCCACCAGTGCTTCCAGAAGCTTTTGCATATCCTGACACCACTGGTACCAACAGTTGCTCACACCCTTCTTCTCCATCCTTCTTCCTTCCCTCTTCTTTCTAATGCTCCTCACTGGCCACTACCATGCTGGAGGCCTAGGGAGAGCTGCCTATTCAAGGCAGACTCACATCCTGTCTGTGATGTGCTCAGTAGGGAAGTTCTATCTCAGCTCGTTTGGACTCTTAGTTCTTACTTATTTTCCTGCATATTTTTGTCCCCTTTGGAGACAGAATACACAGCAGCATGTGGCACTGATTGAAATGCCTGCAGGATGCCTCGCTGTAGCACCCCCAACTTCCTAGGCTTCCTTGCAGCTGGGAGGCTCCATAGTGCCTCCTTTACCCTGTTCCCTCAACAGTGAGTCCACTGCCTGGGCATAAATGGGTGGGACTTAGCAGGGATCATGGTGGCTCCTGCCTGCTGGAATAGCTGTTCTTGCCTGGAACTTCATAGTGGTGGCAGAGATGTGTGCCTCACCCCTATCCCCCAAGTCCTCCCTTCAAACTATGTCATTGCTGAAAATGGCACCTTAGAACACACTGAGGGGGCCTCAAGATGCAGTGGGAAGCTGGGTGTGGTGGTGCACGCCTTTAATCCCAGCACTTGGGAGGCAGAGGTAGGTGGATCTCTGTGAGTTTGAGGCCAGCTTGGTCTACATAGTGAGTTCCAGGACACCGGGGGCTACAGGGAACCCCATTCCAAAAAAAATAAAAAAAAAAAAAAAAAAAAAAAAAAAAAAAAATGCAGTGGGACACAGGGCCACTCAGAGCTCACTCTTCAAAACCAGGAGGAGGGTCATGGGGGCTGCTCATCCAGGCAGTAGCCGCTGACACTAGAATCACTGGCCTTGCCTCATTCCCACCATGGCTGTCCCATTCTTGGGATCCCTGGGCAGTTCCTCTGGCTCGCTAGTTTTGCCCATTTCATCAGGGTTTTAGGGTAAAGCTTCACTGTGACTCAGAAGCCTGGACCCCTGGCTGCCAAGCTGGGGTGGGAGCATCAGCCTGGGTGCCTCCTCCTTGTGCCCCCATCTGACTAGGTGAGTGCACAGAGAAACTTGCAGGGCCTAGAAGAGGCCAAGGGCAAAGAGTAAAAACAGAAACTGTAAACAAAACATACACACAAACAAAACAGTACCTCTAAATACTGACTCTCCTACTCATGAATGACAAGCTTATGGGTTCTGCCTACCTGAAAACAAATTATTATTAATTATTTCTTTTTTCCTTTCCTCTTCTTTTTCCTTACCCTCTCTCCCATCCTCCTCCTTTTCTTCTTTAGTGCTGGGGGAGAAAAGCTAGCCCCTCTACCCTTCAGCACCCCAGCTCCCACCCCTTGACGGTGTATTTGAGTGTCAGCCCTCTTCCTAGTCTTTGGAGGGACTCCCCACTTCCCTCTTCCTGTTTCCCACACAGTCCTTTTAGATAGGCCCATTTTGACTTTGGTTCCTCATTTCCTTGTAGGTCGGTGGCTCAGAGTTTCTGGAACACATGTGAGAGTGGTCAAGCCTACCCCTCCATTCTTTTTCCTCTGGGGTGGGATCCATGGGGCACCCCTGGGTGGAGAAGGGCATCTAACTGTCTCTCTCTGATCCTTCTCTTCTGTGTTCTTCACAGCTTGTGATTGCCACCCCGTGGGTGCCGCTGGCAAGACCTGCAACCAAACCACTGGCCAGTGTCCCTGCAAGGATGGCGTGACAGGCATCACCTGCAACCGCTGTGCCAAAGGCTACCAGCAGAGCCGCTCTCCCATCGCCCCCTGCATCAGTACGTACAGCCCCTCTTCCTCACTGCCTAGAAGGGGGTGTTCTGTGGGAGTTGGTTGCTAATGTCCAGTAGGTTTAGTCAATCACCTATGGACATCTCTGCATCCAGTGCCTGGTGCTCAGTGAGACCCTGTGGGAGACCCCAGGTTCTGAGTTTCCTTCAGAAGCAGCTGTGCATTGGAGCCAGCCTGTCAAACACTGAGTCACTGGCACTGGGGGACATCTCCCAGCAGGACATCTCCCAGCATGGGTCCCACTCCCACATTCCACTTTGACTTCAGGCCCAGTAGAGATGGGCCCTACCTACTACAGCTGCAGATTCAGAAGAGGGTGAACCAAAAGCCCAGGGTCTTTGAGAGAGGTTGTTTAGGCTCTCAGACTCATGCATGGCACCTATGTCCTCTATGAAGGACATAGGGATCCCTGGGAGGAGTTACATGGAGAGGTGCCTCTGGTTACCTGTAACTTGGCTTCAAAGGGTCTGTATATTTTGCATTTGGTAGGGTCATCCCGGCCTAACCATGCGCAGAGAATGAGCTCGAATTGTAAAGCTAGACCTAACCTGAAATGGAGCAGCCTCAATCCATCCTTAGCCTGGTGATTTCTTGGCCAAGCCAAGAAGGGAGGGCAGGAGCAGGAGCGGTGGGAGAGAGTCCATTAGACACGGCCAAGGCCAAGGAACAAAGTGGACTCTCTATTGAGCGGGCTTGGCCAACTCTGCCGGGGAAGGTGGCTGCTGCCTACTTTGGCGTGGCACAGTACCTTATACCTTTTTAGATGGTTGAAACAAAAATCAAAGGAAAAATAATATTTTATCTGTCCTCATGACGCTATAAAAATGATATGAAATTGTCAGGCATGGTGGTACATGCTTATAATCCCAACTTATGAGGCAGGAGCAAGAAGATTATAAGTTGGAGGCCAGCCTGGGCTACATACATAGTGAGTTCAAAGTCAGCTTGGGCTACATAGTGAGTCCCTGTCTTGAGAAAAAAGAAAAAAAACAACCCCAAAATCCACAAAAATGATGTGAAGTTCAAAGCTTAGTGTCCATAAATAAAGTCTGTTTTTGTTTTTGTTTTGTTTTGGTTTGTTTTGGTTTGGTTTGGTTTTGGTTTTTTGAGAGAAGAACCTCCTGTAGTCCAAACTGGCTTGAAACTCATTATGTGACCAGTCTGGTCTCCGTCTCAGAGATCTGCCTGCCTCTGACTCTCAAGTACTGGGATGAAAGGCATGTGTTACCATACCCAGCCCATAAATAAAATTTTGTTAGAGTGCAACCACACCCCTCTCTGACATGCTGTGTGCAGCTGCTGTTGTGGACTTTAACTGCAGCAAATACAGTGTGGCCTTCAGAGCCTGAAGTTTGGCCCTTTTCAGAAGAATTTGGTCAACCCTGACTTCTGTGATTCTCAGAGTCCCGTAACTCAGTGGGCTCCAGTGACTGTGGTGAATGTCAGAAACTTGTAACAACCCAAGAGTCACATGGTCAGTGCCTGGGACCCCTTCATGCCAGAGTTAAGTTGGAGTTCTGGAATGTTCCTCACATAACTTGCAGTCATCCCTGCCCCCAGAAGGTAGACAGTCCACACCTCACCTGTCCCACCAGGTACAGTCTTCATTTTCTGAACAAGTCAGTACTGTTGGTGATTCTGACCAGTTTCTGAATCAAGAGTCTCTGCTAGGGTGTCTTGGTGGGTCCACTGACAGCAAATGACCCAGTGCAAGCCTGAAGAAATGGAGCCCGGTGTCTTCCCAGGGCAGAACAGACAAGTTGAAAGGGTGTTCAGGACTGGGTGTGACTCAGTGGAAGAGTACATGCCTAGTATGCCCCAGGCCCTGGGTTTGTCCCTGGCATTGGAGGGAAGGGAACAAGAGAAATCCTTCTCATAACAACATCCAGTCTCGCAACAGAAGCCAAGGGTATCTGGGCCTATGGAACATGCTCTACCACTATATACCCTGCTTCAGGTCTTCGTTTTAAAGGGATATGGGAACTGTCTGTTTACTCAGAAATGGCAAGAACCAACATTCAAGTCCGCCAGTGGAAAGGACTATGTGAATTGACTGTTTAGAACCAGAGTCTGAGCCCTCCCACAGGCTCTGTACTCTTACTTGCTCTTGAAGAGCCTGAGTAGTCCCACCCAGTAGTCTGAAGACCTAGGCTCTGTCCTGGGATGTCCTAGGTGCACAACAAGTTCCTAGAGAGCTTGTACTCTGTTTCATCACAACTCTGGTAGGCATGGACCTTGGTATGCTTCTGAGAGCTGGGATAATCTGAGGTTCTGAGGTTGGGTGGCCAGTGTGGCCCCATTTGTGGACTTGCGGTATCAGACCAAGCCATTCAGATGCTACCTCCAGAAAGTTTCTCCTGAGACTACATAGCTTATTAGGGCTAAGAAAGGGCCTGGCCCAACGTCCAGCTTCCTATGACGTGATATGACAGGGCACCCAAGGGTTACGAGAATAAAGTCACTGAGAGCAAATCTGTTCCACGTTGCAGGCTGTGTTTTCTTTTTTTAAAATATTTTATTTATTATTTTTATTTTATATGTATGAGTGCCTGCATGTATGCAAGTGCACCCGTGACGTGCAATGCTGTGGAGGTCAGAAGAGGGCTTCGGATTCCCCTGGAACTGGAGTTAAGGACAGTTCCAAGCTGCCATGTGGGTGCCAGGAATCGAACCCAGGTCCTCTGCAAGAGCAGTCAGTGCTTTCAACCACTGAGCCATCTCTCCAGCCCGACTGTGTTTTCTTTACCTCCTAGAGGCACAAAACACGGCTCCTCCAGGGAACTCTCAGATCTGCCCCAGCCTGAGGACTCCTCCTTGATCCACCAGCCTCCATTCCTAGCTGATCTAGAATCCAAGGTCAGAGGGAGATCTTAGCAGAAGTCAGATGGTGGCTACAGTCAGGAGGACTCCAGGTCACTCACCAGGGGAAGTGTGCCCTTTCTCTAGAAAGAGTCTTAGTCCATGGTTTAGTCTTGTCTAGAGAAGGGAAGCCCAAACTTTGATACTCAGTGACTGAATTGATGACAGTTGACTGACTGAATTTCCTTACTTTTTAGGCGTACCAGGGTCAGGTCCAGGAAGTGGCAGGAATGAATTACTATTCTAGATTGAAGAGAAAAATCAAAATAAAACCCATGCTTTTATAGGCCTTGCCACCTGTACTCACTAACAGCAGGCCTTGGCTGATGCAATCGAAACCTGTGGGAACTGGGATTAGGCTGCAGACACATCTGCCCCTGTGAGAAACCTGCCTCCCAAGAGCAGGCTCCCAGCCCCTTGCACACCCATGGGACCTACCCTGAGTTGAGGTCACAGGTGATTGAGACCCAAACAGCCATATCAAGATGAGCAGAGAGGTCCAACTCTGTCACCCCAGGGCAGAGTCAAGTAGATGATATTCAGATGGTAGGACTGAAACAGACATGTGTGTCAGGCCCTGAGCACAGTGTCAGCCCTTCATGCTGCCAGCGCCCCCCGCCCACCTCCCTTCTTCACAGGCTGGTTGAAGACGGCGCACACGGATATGCCCAGGATCCCTGGGACCTACTGCCAGTTTACCTCTCCTCCCAACTTTGAGCTGTGGAATGGGTGTGGGAAGGGGGTCCGTGAAGATTGGGAAGAGTTGTGCTGAGTGCTTTCTCTTTCCAAGGGCAAAAATAATGTCTTCCTACCTTGTTTTTTCCTCCTCCCTGTCCTGACCTCCAGAGATTCCTGTAGCGCCACCAACCACTGCAGCCAGCAGCGTGGAGGAGCCTGAAGGTGAGCTATCCTCTTTGCTTCTCAGTTTTCATATTGGCTATGTGGTGAGGCATGAAAGGGGACATGCGATGGGGATTAGAAGGTCCAGACTCTTCTGTGGTCCCCAGCTAGGCTCTATTCCTCATAAGTGGTCCTCCAAGTGAGCGGTCTCCTCAGCTGCTCTGAAGAAGATGAAGCCACCAGGTACTTCTTTATGACCCTTCTGTGAATAATGCAGGGAATGTTTTAGTGGAGCCAAAGATCAAGAACCCTAAAAGTAGAGTTCCTTGTCCTTGCCCTCAGAGGTTAAGAAGCTGCCAGAACCCCAGCAATATTGGGGCCAAGGATCCTTATCCTTCCAGGGGTGCCAGAGAGCAAAGGGTCAAGTGGGAGGCAGTGCTGAAGGAATAACTGGGCTCCAGTCCACAGTAGAACTGAAATAGGAAAAGAATCCCACTTTTTCATCCATCTGTTACCTAAAGAAGCAGCATTTCCTTTGTGACAAAGGTAGACCATGACCCCAGGTGCCAGTAGCATCTGTGACAAGGCCACCAGCAGCAGCTACAGCTGTGCTCACATCACAGTATTGTTAGCACAGATGCCACAAGACACTGTTTATGCTCATGGTGGAGCATAAGTTACTAGATCCATCACTAGATGCTGATTGACAGTCATTAAGATAGCATTTATATACCATAATTATACCATCAATTTGGAAGAGAGTTTGGATAATATACTTCAGTGGTATTCTTTTCCTGTGTACAGATAGATGTGCCTTGACTTAGGATGGGGTGACTTACTGATAAACCCACTATAAGTGGAAATTACTGTAAGTCAAAAATGCAGCAAATACATCCAACCCTCAGCAGCACATTCTCACTCAGTGGGCATATTGTAGAGGGTCATGTTGCCCCACATCTTGAGGGTGTGGCTCTCTGTCACTGCCCAGTATCACAAGGGAGGATCTGACCCCATTTTGCCAGCCCAGGGAAAGATCCAAATTACAAAATTAAAGCATGGTTTCTATTAAATGCTTGCTGCTTTCATACCTTGGTAAAGTTAAAACTCTGTTGGGATTGTCTGTATCTTATTTTAGTGTTGAAAAGTACTATTCTGAGAAAGGGTCCACCTGGTTCCTTGGCATAAGAGAGGTTTCACAGCCCTGGTTCTGGGTACACAGGGATGGTGTGCCCTGTGGGATTGGTCCAGGGCTACACCTGGAGTCCCTGGTTCTGGGGTCACCGAGGCTTATGTTGTCCTGGTTCCTGGAGTAGGAGTGGTGATGAGGGCAGATTGACATAAAGGCCTTATGTTGGTTCTGGGACCCTTACCTTTTCCAGATGGGACTGCAGGGACGTGTGAGTGGGCTTGCACACTCATGTGGTCACCTACTGTTAAAATAGACTCTAGATTTGGGAGAGAATTGGCTGTGCCCTGGGAACCTGGGAAAAAACAGATTTGGAACTTGAGCCTGTATAGCTAGCTAACAGCAGCCTGCGAATAGAAGGCCAAGCGCAAATGCCAGTGCGGAGTCATTCTGGGTGCGGCCAGAGGTAGTCAGGTCTGGGGCTGTTTGTCAAGGCTTCTGATACCCTCGGTTGAGCCCATGGCAGGAAAAGTAGCCTGAGGAAGGCTGAGGAAGCCCCTGACAGGGTGCCTGGGTGCTGGATGCCAGAGCCGAGGCACACAGGCAGAAGTTTGGGCTCAGCACCATATACAGCGAAGGCCCCGAAGGAGGTTGCTTCAGGGAACAGAAGCTCATTGTTTTCTATACAGATTTTTTTTTTTTTAATTAAAAATTTTTCTCCCAAACTTCTTGAGAGGTCAAGGCAGGAGGATTACTTTTGTTTACAAGTTGGGGGCCAAGCTGGGCAGTATAGTGAGACCCTATCTCATAAAAACCACAAACATAAACAGAAAAGTATGTTCTCTATTGCTGAGGACAAGAATAGACTTTTTTTACACAATTATTTTGAATTAAAATTAAGTGATGGGGGCTGGAGAGATAACTGAGCAGTTAAGAGTGCTTACTGCTCTTGTGGAGGCCTGGTTTTCAGTTTCCAGCATCCACATCAGGTGGTTTACAACCTCCTGTAACTCCAGCTTCAAGGAATCCTCTACGTATACCTGCACACACAGTACATATAAACTCACACAGACATACATACATACACATAAAGATAAATAATTTTTTGAGACAGGGTCTCCCTGTAGCCCCAGCTGGCTTAGAACTCACTATGTAGACCAGGCTGGCCTCATTCTCTCAGAGATTCACTTGCCTCTGCTTCCTGAATGCTGGGATTAAAGGTGTACCACCACACCCAGCGATAAATAATTTTCAAAAATTGAGAGGTTAAGGGGGCAGATCAGTGGTAGAGCACATGCTTAGCATGCATGAGGCCCTGTGTTTCAGGGGGGAGCAGTTTTGAAGTCAGAAGAGGTTGAAGTAGAATTTGCATTATATTTCTTATTTGGTGTGTGTTGTGTTCGTATGTTCATATGTGTGTGTACATACATGTGTACGTGATGTGTGTGGCAGCTCCAAAGTTGATGTCAGGTATCTTCCTCAATTGCTCTTCACTTTATTCCTTGAGGCAGGGTCTCTCACTGAACCCGGAGCTCTGCAATTCTAGCTGGTCTAGCCTTGTCTCTTCCTCCTGAGGGATGGATGGCGGGCCTCCATGCCTAGTGGCTGTTATGTGGGTTCTGAGGATCTGAACGTGGGCCTTTACGCTTGGACAGCAAGCATTTTATCCACCGAGCCATCTCCTTAGTCCTGGGAGTTAGATTCTTGATACCACAATGACTCGGTGGGCATGCGGCCAATGGGAAGTGCCAGTGCTCCCTCCGAGCAGCACTCACCCGGATGGTCTCTTGAGCTGTGGGGCTGTGCAGGGCAGAATACGCAGCTTGCCTAAGGACAGACAGGTCTTAATGGTCTGTCTCCTCACAGTTTTTTCTAGACTTTGCAACCTGACTTTGGCTTGCTTTTAACGGTTTTTGGCTTTTTACTGCCTAATTGAGAAAGGCAAGTGAAGGGGGTGGTAAAGGAGAGAACCCTCCTAAGATGTCTGCACGGGCCACTCGAAGCTGGTATGAAGTGTTGGAGGTGCTCAGCTCTACCAGACAACGTCCCTGTCTAACGGTTTGTGGTGCTGAGGCTCAGCAAGAGCTCCCCCCACTTCTAAACCCCCTAGAGTCATCTTAGCAGTCTTTGGTTGTCTATTTACCCCTTCCGACTCCTTTGGATTTTGAGACTGCGTCTTTTCTTCATCAGAACCTTAGCAAATATGACTAAAACTAGAGCAGCAGCAAGAAACTTTGCTCTCAGCAGACCTGGGCAAGCGGCTTTTGAGGCCTGGAATGAGGCCTAGAACTTTCGCTCGATCTTTGGAGCCTGCCCCGTGGGGACTCCAGATCTGACCTTTCGGGGTGTCCCATAGCAGAGAGGCTGGCTGGCTAGCTGAGATACTGAGCTGGAGGCTGAGAGTCCCCCTGGGAAGTGGGGCCTTGGAGCTGGGCACCTCCAAACCTGTGGACTCACACAGTGTGTGAGGAAGACCCCTGAGTGGGGCCACCTGTGGAAAGCTTCTTTGCTTTCACCTGCCTCATGGAAGAGAATTCATAGGCCATGCATTTGTTCTCAAAGCTGAGGGATGTAACCTTGCCCTGAACCCAAGTCCTTGAAGGTCCAGCGCGCTTAGAGAATGTTCTTTACCTGCTGCCAGGCAGAGCAGCCAGAATCATGGAGGTCTGTAGCAGGGGAGACCAGGAAGGGACATAGAGATAAGGGTGTCATGACCAAGGATCCATGGCACACACCTATTAACTGGTTGGAAGGACCTCAGCTCCTGTGGCTGGAAGAAGAACGCCTGCCTCCTGTCACTCCTTGACCTGCGAGTGTTTGCTTTTGTAGGGCCCACTCTGGTGGCTGGGAGGAGCTTGGGGTTTGGAGTCGGACATCCAGGTTGATTCCTCACTGACTGATGGCATGGAGGCTGCCACAGCTTTGTCTCCATTGGAACAGGAAGGAGTCCAACCTAGTACTATCACCCTGGGTCCCTGTGGTCTGAAGGACCCTTTTCTTCTGCTAGGGTTTCCTCTTTTGCTCATTTCCCTTCTGCCTCTGACAGTCAGATCTCCCCATAATCCTTCCTAAGGCATGTGGGCCATGATGGTAGATACTCCTTACCTGGGTTGATCTGCACAGGGGCCACTTTTCTTGGAGAAGCATCCTGCCCATGGCTATCTTCAGCCCACCCCATATGAAGTCCATGAGGGTCAAGTAGGGAAGAGATGCACAGGGTTGGCTTTCAGAACCCATGTGAGCTCACCTCACCCCACCCCACTTAGGCTATGACCTAGAAAACCTTTGCCCGCCTCTCTCATTTCCAGAGCATGGCTGCCTTATGGTAAAAGGTCCTGGGTTGAGGTCCAGGAGGGAGGAGCCAGCCACCTCCTGGGCGCCCCACCTCCTAGCAGGGGTTTGGGCCCTTCCCCAGTCCTCCCTTCTCATTGCACTCTCTCCATTTGAGGTCCTATGTGAGCCCCAAATGGAGGATTTTGCTACTGCTTCGGTGGCCTGAGGTAGGGCTGGGATGGTTTTCCAGGGCACTAGGAAGTTCTTCAGGTGAGCTCAGAAAGAGGACCTCCCAACCAGCAGTGCTGGAAGAAGCTCCCCTCAGTGTCAGCAGGTATGTGATAGAGAGGGGTCATCTCTCCAGGAGTTTATACAGACTTGCAGCGTGGCCCAACCTGGGCTGTTCCCAGGTTAGACTTCTGTCTCTCGAGCCAGGAAACACTTGGAAAGAATGGGAACATTCTGTTAAGACTTGAGAATAGGTGAGATGTGGAAGCTCTTTCTTCCTCTGAAATGGATAATAAAAATCCTGTTTCAAGGGGCTGTGGCGGGATTACAATGCAAGGATTCGGCTGTGGAAGTACTCAACAGAAATAAACAAGACCACATGAACAGCTGGGCCTGGTGGCACAGGCCTATAATCCTGACTACACTGGAGCCT